TCATTGACAAACACAATAAAATCACATACATTATAGACATAGCCATTCCAAACACTCACAATGTACAAAACACATGCACTGAAAAAATTAGCAAGTACACAGAACTCGCCCAGGAAATAAGGCATCTGTGGAGGATGGATAGGGTGCTTATTGTACCTGTCGTTCTCTCCTGTACAGGTGTGATACCACACACACTACACAAAAGCCTGGGAACATTAGAATTGAGTAGAAATACATACATCACACTACAGAAGGCCACTATATTGAATACATGTCACATTATTAGGAAATTCCTGAATACAGACACATACACTGACACACTTATTTAATTTTAGTTTTGTTTTAATTGCTATGCCTTGACTTTGGTCCGGCATAGTACACATCCACAGGTGTGAACCGAGTATAACTCACAAAACCCAATATAATAATAATATAAATAAACTCAGGTAAACATGTGTCAGGTGAGAACCTCATAGGTTACCAGATAGGTTTTATAAAAAGTAAAGCAGAATTCCTCAAAATGTAGCCCAAATTATTTTTAAAGTGACCTAAAAAGCAGTAAGTCACATAAATATAGTAGCCTAGAGCCTTACAAATATCTCAATCTACTACTTGTAGCCCATTCTTCCAATCCCAAAACCTAGCCACATTTTATGAGATAAGAGAAAAAAGGGTAGTCGATGGGCAACTCTTTTTTTCTCATCTCATATCTAAAATGTGTTACTGTAAAAGCAAAGCATATTGTCCAGACTAGAGTTGTTCTTTGTCTATTATTCTCTTATAGTATGGAGTCACTTTGATATAAATGAATGAGTTAACATGCACATATCATAAGTTCAGACAGAATTTTCACTTTGAATTTTGAAGTAGCCATATTTTACACTAACCAAATTCCATAACTTGTAAATTTCTATATCCCTGGACAGGACAAATAGTATACAGTCGACCCCCCTATAATTACGGTCCCTATAATTACGATTCCTATAAAACTACGAAAAAATATACGTATTTTGGAAATGTTGAGTCAGATTAGTGTAGAATCGATTAATTTTATGGAAGAAAACCTTTCAATCAGCCGTAGTCCGTAAACTTGACACGTGTCGGGCTGTGATTGGAACGACTTGTAAGAAATCGGATTCCTAATAAATTGGAACGTATCTATATCTTATAGGGGGGGTCGACTGTAGTTACAAATTAATGGGATTTTGAACTATCTGAGTTTGAATTAACAAGGATTTTCTGTATTACTATTACAGGATATACAGGATGGCTCATTTTAATCAACTCACTGGAATAACTCAAAAATATGCATCCTACAAGAAACTTCATTAATTAAACCAAAAATGTTAGACTTCCAGTGGGCCACAAGATAACACTATCAATTAGCATTTTCATTCAATTTAAAATCAACTTTATTTTCTTAAATGGTTTTTTTATAGCAAATACTTTTACATAAAAAAACAAACTTATATCTAAAACATTTTTTCCAAAAAGTACACTTATCAGAAGTATTTGAAGATATGGTTAGGAGAATTCAAACATTTTGTACAAACATACTATGGAATATGTTACTAAGAAATGTGAGATATTTTCAACAGTGAATTGACTTATATATTCATGAAAATGGAGTTGACTTTAAACATTGTTTGCAATAAGAGAAAACTGTAAGAGGCAAAGAAATTCATACTAATTAAGCACTCCACTAACTAAAAGTTTAACTTGAAAAACATATTGAAAAAATTTAAGATAACCTCAAGCTAAACTTGTAGACAATTTTAAAAATCAGCCATACTCTTTATCACAAGCCTGATGCCTTTAATACATTGTGGCATGAATTTTTGCATCATTCATTATTTGAAGAAAAAAAATAATTTCATAAAATAATAATTAATAGTTTTCTAATGACTTTTTAGCATTTTTCTTTCTTTTTTTTCTCAATGAACTTCAGAGATATCTGCAGTGTGAATGCAATATGCAAATGTCACATATCAAATGGTCCAGAGACACTTTCAAATGCATATCAATGTCAAAGTCAGGTTTAACTGTCTAGAGAATGCCTTTCATACTTTCATATTATTTATTTAGGTTAATGAATTAAATACATTGTACAAAATTAGTATTCAAATGTTAGAAAATATTAAATAAATTTAAAAAGTGATTTTAGTAAAATTCTAAACAAAACTTGGATGAAATTTGATACCACTTGAGCAGTAACTGATTTGCTGAATACAACAATTTTGTGCTATAGTTAGGATATCCTCAATTCCGAAAGCTTAAGCAAACTGCTTTTAAAGTGCAATAAAATCTTCCAGAGGAAGCTAATTTCATTGTTAATTGAAACTATCATTTCAAGCCATTGTATAGATTCTAATGGAACTAGTCTTTTGTTTAAGTCTATGTTTAATTCAAATGAATTGAAATATGTACTTTGTCCACATATACTAGTTTACTACATTGCCACTTTTTTATCCATTGCACAATATTTATTTTGTTATAAATTTTTGTGTTAATTAAATTGGAGTTCCTAAAATTAGAATAAGATACTTATTAAATAAAAAAAATTAATTAAATATGAAAAGTGCCTAATTAAAAGTTTAAATTATTGCTGTATTAAGATTCCTAAAACATTACTACAGCAACAAGTTAAGCAGAGCCACAATTAAAAATTGACAGTACATACAGAAACACCCAGACAATCTGATTTGTGACACCAGCCATGTAAAAGCTTCTGATAAGTTCCTTTTTTGGAAAATTGTTTCAGATATAAGTTTGTTTTTTTATGTATAACCATTATAAGCAATAAAATGGGGATGCCCATGTAAGAAAATGAAGTTGACCTATTTTCACTAATTGTAGAACCGTCTTGTAGCCTTTTTAAACTAACATTTTTGATTTAATATATTTTGCAATAGGACAACTGTGAAGGAAAATCAGTACAATTTTTAGTGTGAGGGAAGTCAACACAATTTCTTAAAAAGAATCAACACAGCTACCAATTAAAGTGTCTTTAGATGTGACAGAACAACAGTAATGTGACAGTTTGTTCCAGGAGAAGGTTTTATGATTAGTGCAGATGGCCCTACCCAAATGCAGATGTCATAATATTTGATCTCACATAGCTGCCTCTTATGGGAGAGAAGGAAAGGGAGGCAGGATCACAAAAAAAAGCAGTTAAGCTCAAACATTAAGTCTGAGTGTAACTCTAGTAAGCACTGCATCCAAAGTTATTGAAGCCCAATTGTTGGTGAAAATAGAGTTCTGATCTTTATCAGGAGAATCACAACTGATCCTCATTAAGAGAACCTTTAGTACACAATAATAAAATTGATCTACGATGATAAATTTTAGTCCATAGTTAAAAGAACCAGTTTTCAATAATTGGTTTAATATAACTATGATTTTTCAAGATACAGGCAGATTACATTTATGGAAGAAACATAATAGCAGCTATAGATCAATTTCAAAATCAAATTTCTGATACTTACTGAGATTCATCATATGGTTGCCTGCATAGACAATAAAGTTCCTCCGTAGTACTTTGATGTGCAGTATCACATTCAGCACAGATGTATTTATCCATTTTTTTAGCTCTTATTTCTGTTAACCCAACACAATCAACATGAAACCAATTTGAACAAAGATCACAGCCAATCATAAATCTGGAATTAAAAAAAAATAAATGTTTAAAAATAAAAAGACAAAGAACTGCAGTGTAATTCTGATCAATACTCTTTAATTTCTATTATTAATGTAGTAAAAATGTTTCTGCCATAATATAATTATGTTAAATTTATAAGAATATTTTTCTAATTTTAATAAAAGTAAATATGATAAAGGTTTTATAAATGGTTTGACAAAGATTGGATGTCATTCTTACAAAATTAAAAACTGAACACGTGTGACTGATTCATCGATATATACATATTAGGTTTCATGTTTCAAATTCAGTCATTTTAACTGAATTAACTAGACAATTTTAATAAAACATGAGATCAAACATTTTTAAATACAGTAATACCCCGAACTTAAGCGATAGGTGGGACCGAGCGATAACCGCGTAAGTCGAATTCGCATAAGTTGGGGTATAATTTCCCATATAAATACATACAAATAATTTTTAATTGGGGCCGGAGACTAAAAAAAGCAATAATTTAGAAAAAATGTTTAATAAAATCTTAGATAATACATATGTATAACAAATTAGGCCTATATTATTATACAATTTTTCACAATTACTTGTTTATCACACCATAATTTTAACATTGTTTCCATCTCAGTGATAATACCGTGATGTTTACAAATGATGCTTGAATTTAAAGATTGAGCATTTTTCACAGCTTCAAGAATTTTTTCTTTGCCTTTTATAATTGTTCTGACTGACAATTTCAGTAGATCAAACTTCTTTGCCAATTCACAAATTTTCATTTTTGTATCAAAGTCTTTAATAATGTTAACTTTACATTCCAAAGATAAAGTTTTTCTTTCCTTGTTTGATGCAGAAGAATCAGTTCTACTTCATTTGGATGACATAGTAGAGTCTCTCGAGTCTCCGTAGATAAAACAAACACAGAAATAAATAACACAAAATAAATTGTAGCTATGCATTGATTCCACGCGACATTTCCGAATATGTAAGCTGAACAATAGTGTGAGGGGAGTGAGTAATCAAGAGTTGTGTGGCACTCAAACAAAAGACGAATTGGCGAGATTTGAAAATCGCATAACTCCAGGTTCACGTAAGTCAGGGTAGTGTAAGTCGAGGTATTACTGTATATAGTCATAGACAAAATTAACTGTTAACAGAAAATTGATGAATTTTTTCTATACTTGAAATTAGGTAAATTAATACCAGAAAACAATGTTTAAAGTATAAGAAATAATTCATATTTATTTTAATCAAAAACCTATTGAAATATTTTGATTTTTCTGCAAAATAAATCTTATGTTCATACAATATTTGTTGTTTACTAGGATCATTATCATTATATTTAAAATATTACACTGTTACTATATTAACATTTTTATTTATAAAGTGGTAATATAACAACACTAAATTTTTTACTTTGTGCCTTAGCAAAATATAACATTTATTGTTTTTGTGCCCAAAAACACCAATAAACCTAAAAACTTTAATACAAGAAAGGAATAAAGTATATTTTTTCTCTTTTAAGAAAGTGTTTTGTTTATGGAATTCTCACTAATTATTAAATAATCTTTTTAATGTATTTTGTGCAATCTGGAAACAGCACATTTAGCCATATTCTTTAATAAAAATACTGTTAAAAAAAATTGTTTTAATTAATGATAGAATAAATAATCCAGAGAGATGATATGATGTGTATGATGTATTCTCTTAACTTAAATTTACTAATCTTGGTTTAAAACAATAATATTTTAAAATTTGTTGTATAAAGAAAATGAATCTTAAAACATTTTAAGATTTTCAATAATTTCCATGATCAAGAATGAAAAAGTAATCCATTATACCATTGATTATCATCAAAGAAATGCTAAATCCATTATTTTAAATATTTAAAAATTTAGTTTATTCAAATTTAAAATTAATAGTTAAATTAAAAATTTACCTTGTACTATCATAGGGCTTTTTACAAATACAATAAAGCTTCTGCGTTCGAATTTTTGGAGGAGGTACATGACTTGTTTTTAATTTTTTCACACACATTGGAATTGATGAATCACTTGCATCTCCTGAATCACTATCACTAGAATGAGATTTTCGTTTTTTAGCCACTTTATCTTTGTCTAATTTTAACGATTGCATAATCGTTGGTCTTGAAGGCAGTATCTTTGCAGGAGCTGTTGGACTACTGATAGTTTGAGTGGAAGGTGTCCTATTTTTAAGTTCTTCCTGTAATTCTCCCTATTATAAAATTAAAATATATTACATTTTAAAGCAGAAAGAGAGAAAAAATTATTTTATAACTGAACACATTTACATTTAAAATTTTTTCTAGAAATTTCTTAATATTGATATTTGATATATTTTATGAAATTTTTTAGATTCAAAATATACTAGACTAGTTTTATTTAACCACTTTACTGATATATTTGGAAATTTTCCTTTAATATGCTGTTTTAACTTTGATAAAATTAAAACATAGCATATTAAAACTCAAATTAGAATCATTTAAATAAAATTTCAATTTGAAGATGTTAACATTTTTATTTTCAGAACTCAACACATCGAACAGAATAATTTCAATTTTATATATAAAATATGAAATTAAGCAATTACACTAATATCAACAATAAATTACTGTTATGTGTTTCAAAATTAAAAAACTCCAGATGCTAATAATTATATGCTCATTATATAATCAAATTTTTTCAATGCTTATTACTGATAAATTCAATAAAAAGTCATCACTTATATATATATATAATAAGTAATAAATAATAAGTGACATATTATATATTACATTGTCTAAAAATTTAATGATAATACTTCTAAATACTGGATTAAAACAAAAAATTCAACCTGATAACTATTGTTGGTCATCTTCAACTACTGATACTAATAAAACAATTTTAACAATAATCTAAAAACATGCAATTTAATTGCACACTGTTTAATCCTTTAATGAATATGTAGTGAAAATCTGCCACATTTGATGAAGATATACAGTAACTGTATTCATAATTTTTAAATCAGTGATATTTTCAATTTTAATCTTTAAAACAATGTAAATAAACAGAATTATTGGTTCTGTATATTTAATAGTATATACATAAGATAATAAGATATAATAATTGAACATAACTGCTAGAGAACTGTAACATAATTTATTATAATGCATTTATTTAAGTTAAATCTTGAAAGAGTAATGATAAAAAAAAATTAAACTTTTATTTTAAATAAAACATTCAAATATAAATTCTTTAAGTTCACTGATAATATTTACAATTTAAATTAAAGCATAAAAATACAGTAAAGCATCGTTTATCCGAATCAATTGGAGACTGGGGTTGTTTGGATAACTTATTTTTCGAATAACCAATTATGTACGAAATAATATATTAACCTATCCCATGTTGAAATTTTTCTTCATTGCGTGTCGCTTTGCATTGAATTTTCATTGATGTTAAGCCTAACGTAAACTTTTTAAAATAATAATCATAGCCATTGTATTGTTAAAAATTATTTCTTTATTTTGTACAAATAAAATAAATATATTGAAAAATATAAAAACAAAAAAAATTATATTTTGGAAGTTAATCTAGCATCAAAACCATTTGATTCAGCACAACACAGCCTGACTGGAACGCTTTCAATAAACCGATGTTTTGGTTTATCGGCTTCGGATAAACGATGCTCTACTGTAATACTAAAATGAAGTATTAATTAATATTTGACTATATGTTTAGGTCAAAATCAATGAAAACATGAAGAATTTGAAATCTACAGTTCTAACTTATCAAAATGCATTTAGAAGAGAGTAAAACTTTTATATGTCCATAAAAAGCTACTCATTATGTGACAATTACAAATATATTTGAAAAGAGTATTGTTGTTCAAACATAACATAATAAATGTGAGATATCAAAAATAAAAAATTGAATTTCAATGAAAACACTAAAACCATCTTTATAATTAAGTCTAATAGAACATTTCAATGAATTTAATTCAACTCTTAATATTTACTTGCATACAATATAGTCTAGAAATAAATATTCCAACATCATGTCAATAAATATAGAGTGAGTGAGTGAGTGAGTGAGTGAGTGAGTGTGTGAATGTGTGTACATATATATGTTCATGTAAATAATCAAAATCTTAGAGGAGTCCCTATTAATTTGTTATTGATAATATAAATTACAGTTTCATACAATTACAGTATTAACTAAGCTCATCCAGAAAGTAAGTACCGTTTGGGTATTAAAAAAGATTTACAATTTGTTTTCATTTGCATTTTATTACAGAAAAATTTACATATCTTAAACTAGTTTTCAACATATTCACTATGAGAATTAAGGCATGTGTCATATCTTGGCACTAAGTGCAACATACCCGCTTTGTAGAATTTGGTAGCCTGCGACCTGAACCAGTTCTGGACATTTACTTTGATCTCATCATCACTTGCAAAGTGGTGATGAGATCTACAGTTTACTGTGAGACATGAAGAAGTTACGGCATGTGATACAGAACAAAAGGCATGGACTACTGACTTCTGGCATTGTGTTCATGCACGACAACACATGACTGCATACCGCATGCGTAATGACGACACTGCTTGATTCATTTCATTGGGAACAGTTCTGTCACCCTCCTTATAGTCCAGACCTAGCTCCATCCAACTTCCGTTTGTTTTCTCATCTCAAGAAATTTCTTTGTAAGTGATGATGAGATCTAGGTAAACGTCCAGAACTGGTTCAGGTCGTAGGTGGCCGAATTCTACAAAGTGGGTATGTTGCAATTAGTGCCAAGATATGACACATGCCTTAATTCTCATAGTGAATATGTTGAAAACTAGTTTAAGGTATGTAGATTTTTCTGTAATAAAATACAAATGAAAACAAATTGCAAATCTTTTTTAATACCCTAACGGTACTTACTTTCTGGATGAGCTTAGTACAATGTAGAAAAGTAAATATAAAAATGATTTATACCTTAATTTCAGTTAACAAATAAAAAAAACTGCTCTTTAATTAGTAACTTCAAGGATAATTTATAAATAAATTAAATTAAATGTCAATCATTCTACATAATCTGATCTTAAAATATAAAGTAAACACTACTAAAGATTACTGAGAATTTTTTTCTTCTTTAGAAATTTTATATAATTCAGTAGAACTCACTTTACAGTGACCATTAGGAAAATTTTTGAAAAACAGATGTTATACTGAATGGTTGTTACATTGACTTTTCCCAATATTTTCTTATTTTGCCAAGAGGAAAATGCCCATGTTATATATATTTTGTGCTATATAAGCACTGTTACTATATTAACATTTTTATTTATAAAGTGGTAATATAACAACACTAAATTTTTTACTTTGTGCCTTAGCAAAATATAACATTTATTGTTTTTGTGCCCAAAAACACCAATAAACCTAAAAACTTTAATACAAGAAAGGAATAAAGTATATTTTTTCTCTTTTAAGAAAGTGTTTTGTTTATGGAATTCTCACTAATTATTAAATAATCTTTTTAATGTATTTTGTGCAATCTGGAAACAGCACATTTAGCCATATTCTTTAATAAAAATACTGTTAAAAAAAATTGTTTTAATTAATGATAGAATAAATAATCCAGAGAGATGATATGATGTGTATGATGTATTCTCTTAACTTAAATTTACTAATCTTGGTTTAAAACAATAATATTTTAAAATTTGTTGTATAAAGAAAATGAATCTTAAAACATTTTAAGATTTTCAATAATTTCCATGATCAAGAATGAAAAAGTAATCCATTATACCATTGATTATCATCAAAGAAATGCTAAATCCATTATTTTAAATATTTAAAAATTTAGTTTATTCAAATTTAAAATTAATAGTTAAATTAAAAATTTACCTTGTACTATCATAGGGCTTTTTACAAATACAATAAAGCTTCTGCGTTCGAATTTTTGGAGGAGGTACATGACTTGTTTTTAATTTTTTCACACACATTGGAATTGATGAATCACTTGCATCTCCTGAATCACTATCACTAGAATGAGATTTTCGTTTTTTAGCCACTTTATCTTTGTCTAATTTTAACGATTGCATAATCGTTGGTCTTGAAGGCAGTATCTTTGCAGGAGCTGTTGGACTACTGATAGTTTGAGTGGAAGGTGTCCTATTTTTAAGTTCTTCCTGTAATTCTCCCTATTATAAAATTAAAATATATTACATTTTAAAGNAATAGACAAGTATCTAGAACAAGAAAAGTGAAAATTATATTAAAGTCAATAGAAGAAAAGATTGGATTCATTCTTTAAATGTTATCATGAATATGAAATTGAAAATACTATGTTCTGACCCAAAAGAATCAATATCAAACTGTCTGCAGTAAAGGGGTTAATAATATTTAAAACTGGCCAAATTAAATGTTTTACACAATAAACAAAGAAAACCTGAATTTCCAGTTGAAGTTCTTTTTCAATAAGTGCTCTTTTTTTCATAATGTCCCTTTTCAAAAGTTCAGTGTGTTTAAAGAGGAGTGCTTGTAATTTCTGAGCATTTGCACGTACTCTCCTTTCTTCGGCAGTTTCCTTCTGTTTTAATCGACGCTGATTATTTCGTTCTTCTCGTTCGATTTTATCCATTATTCCTTTAAGAACTTGTTGACAAACAGCAAGTCTATAAATTCAAAAATTTCTTATTATAAATTAATACAAGTAAGATTATCAAATATATTGTTTACTTGTCAAAGAATGCATATCATGTTAATAAATTAAATCATGTTAACATTTTTCATTATTGAATATAATATAAAATATTATATTATATATAATTTATTACACTGTTTACATTGATTTTAATATAAATAATGTAATTCAATATCAATTAATTCTGTTACAATTCAGACATAAAATCATTTCTATTGTCTACTACTACTACTACTACTACTGACAGTTGCAATCATAATAACTCCAATGCTGTTAATTATTTTAATAAATAGATAAAATAGTTGACATGCATAACTGTAGTGTTAAATTGTAAATGTACCATAGCTCCCTGAATGTGAATACCATTAGATAAGTTCACTAAATTATTATTGCTATTTTTTATTATTTCAATATGTTCTTTGAATTTGCATTTATATATTTCTTTTTCATAATGAAGTATTTTTATGTTGATTATGTTCATTATGAAAAATAAATATATAATGCAAATTCAAAGAATATATTGAAATAATAAAAAATAGTAATAATAATTTAGTGAACTTATCTAATGGTATGCAAATTGATGAACAGTGGCATAATATGATAGAGGGCATGACTTGAAGAAGTAAATTGTAATAGGGATGTCGTATGAATGTAATACTGTGGATAAATGTAAAGAAAAGCCATTATGTATATATTGTTTTCTGGTTTAAAAAACTGCTAAATCATTTACTTATAATGTGTAAAACTGTTATTGTGATTGCAGTTATTTCGATAGTTTAAAAAAATAAAAAATATGACAGATGATTTAAAAAAACACCTAGCATCATAAGTCAGAAAGTATCATGTAGTAACGATAATATCGCTGACAAATGTGGATAAAAGTAATAAAAGCATGTTATATGTATTATCCTTTCTTAAAATTGTTAAATCATTGATTTATGATTGTAAACCTGTCGTTTTAATTGCAGTTATCCTGATAACAAGGTATAGTTATAGGTAAGAAGATACCACGTTGTTATTAGTGTAATAGTGTATATGGAAATAATTTATATTTACAGATTTTAAGGTTGGTTTTTATTGTACCTGTGTACTAGTGTCATCCAATACACACTCATGTTTTTTGGTTTATATAAAATATTATAGTTAGTGTCATATAAATGTACCAGTATAATTGGAAAAGTGTTGCTCTGTCTTCTGAGGTATGTAAAAAATTTATTTTTTGTCTGTAAAGATCATCTTCGTGCAAAAAATTTGTGAATTTTTGTTTTGTTTTTTATATATGTAGTATTTACACTGAAGAGGGGCTTATATAGACCCAAAATGCATTTGTGAATGTGAATTGCAATAAAGGAGTACCTAACCTTATAGCTGAGAGGAAGACTATCAGATTTTTATTGATTCATATTAAAGAGGCATTTATTCAAACTATGTATTTAACAGCTACCACACCTGATATTTAAAATTGATATCAAACATCAGCCTTTTATTAGAGGATCCAATTGTTTTTTACATTTAAAAACAGAGGTTACATTTTCTCACCATACTATCATGTCCTTAACCTTTTTAAATAACTGGTTCTGGCCCTTTAGTGGTAGTTTTGGGTATTCACAACTTCATTTGCAAAATACATACATTTTCTCACCATACTATTTAAAAAGGTTAAGGACATGATAGTATGGTGAGAAAATGTAACCTCTGTTTTTAAGTGTAAAAAAACATTGGATCCTCTAATAAAAGGGGGACGTTTGATATAAATTTTAAACTTTGTGTGAATTTTAATTTTACATTATTTGTCAATTTAATGAAGTTTTTTCTTCAAGCCATTTAACTGTTACTTCTGTGGTTGAGTAAAAGAATAAGAAAACACTCGAAAATGTTTTAATTTTTGTAAATAGTCTTAATCTTCAAATTGAAGATATCCTGGGTCAACATTAAGTGTATTTGTACACTGTTGATGTTTATTGAATATTTAATGATTAAGTTAAATACTACACTTTTGACACTAAAATTATTAAATCCTTAAAAATTGATAGATTAAAAAGTCTAGCTAAAATATCAAATATGTTAAAAATTTATTAATAAAAGAGATATAATTAAAGTATCTAAAATAATATCAGTTCTTTTATTTTGATCCATGAAAATGAAATATTGAAAAAACAAAATAATGTATCAAATTACATAATAAATGAAACAATGATATAAATAAAAAAGAGTAATTGAAATCATTATTTTACATCTATATATATAAAACCAGCTAGTTTTATATATATAGATGTAAAATTTTGAAAAAGCACAGATTTTGCAAGCAAACCACATTTATATTCAGTATTTCAACAACCATAGTAATTGTTATATAACACCTACTGCTGAGAATGATGAGAATTGCTGAGAATCAAACAAACTATTTTCAATTTGATCAATTTTCTGGAACGTTTACAATCATTCTGTAATCGAACCAATATGCAATAACAAATTAAAATTTAAAACGATTCGAACATTTTGTTAAAAAAAATCAAATTATATAAAAATATTTATAACAATGTCTGAAATGTTATCAATTTAATACACCTAAGTACTCAATGAAGAGTAAACATAGTTGAAAACAAAAAATTTCATCTAAAACAGTACAGTAGAAGCCATTCTTCCGGTTAAGCCTTAATGCTCTCCCTCTTCCCCACAGTGGGATTTTAAAAAATCCTTCTTAGCATGCAATCTCATGGCGTACCCTAACTGTGTATCAAATTTCACCTCTAGGTTCAGTGGTTTGCTCTTGGCAATGATGAATTAGTCAGTCAGGACAAGTAATCTAAATATATAAAATTAATTGGACTGACTGACTGATTCATCATTGCCAAGAGCAAACCACTAAACCTAGAGGTGAAATTTGGTACACAGTTAGGGAACGCCATGAGATTGCACGCTAAGAAGGATTTTTTTAAATCTCCCTGCGGGGAAGAGGGAGAGCATTAAGGCTTAACTCAAAGAACGGCTTCTACTGTACTATTTTAGATAAAATTTTTTGTTTTCAACTATGTTTAGTCTTCATTGAGTACTTAGGTGTATTAAATTGATAACATTTCAGACATTGTTATAAATATTTTTATATATTTCGATTTTTTAACCAAATGTTCGAATCATTTTAAATTTTAATTTGTTATTGCATATTGGTTTGATTACAGAATGATTGTAAACGTTCCAGAAAATTGATCAAATTGAAAACAGTTTGTTTGATTCTCAGCAATTATCATTCTCAGCGGTAGGTGTTATGTAACAATTACTATGATTGTTGAAATACTGAATATAAATGGTTTGCTTGCAAAATCCACTTGAGTGAAGTTGTGAGTAACAGCTAGTATAAAATAAAAAAGTAGATAAGATGAAAGAGACTATAGAGATTATTAACTAAAAACATGATTACAAATAATAAGAACAAATTATTTAAATATGAACAATTGGAATTGCTATTTTTGAATCAGCTAGTTTTTCTGGTCACTTCTTGAAATGCTAAACTGATTTTTGCAGATGTTGAAGAGTGTATATTTCAGTATCTTCTAATGAAACTAGACATTTCATGTAATGTCTAACAGCTTGTTAGCACATGGTGTAAAACAAAACAGCTGAATATTTTTGCACTTCTATATGTTTAACATGCTGATTCCTGACTATATGTCCTCAATGACAATTTTTACATATTTTAAGTTTTTTCACTTCTGGCTCTTTCCTCCTTATGAGTACAATATGGGCTTTTTTCCGTACACATTGTAGATTTGAAAGGCCACAATGGAGGTGGTCAACAGGGATAGATTCACGACAGATCCATAGATATCTGCCTATGAAAAATTCCTAGGGAGTTATTTGCCGGTTTTGATCCAGGGCCCCTTAGAATGATATGGTGATAACCATCTTTTATCTAGCCAACACATTTCTGACATTCAATCTGTGTATTTTATTTATAGCAAATCACTGTGCTGCCAATATTACCTTTTTGCATCTAGCTTGACTCATCCACCATTAAGTGGTAGTTGTGGGTTCAAGTCCCGCTCCAGGCAGATTCTTTTCTTCCAGTTTAAGCTAAATTATTTAATTAAAATTAAAATTATTAAATTTATTATGAGATGGTGCCTAATGCCTCTCTCTAGAGTCAAATTGTTCGGTAATCTATTATTAATATAGCCATTATATAGCCCAATGGCATATGGCTGTGTATGGTTTTATAAGTAGCATACGAGGGGGACCAAAATAAAAAAAAAACCAAACAGAGCATGCTGCCATTCATAGACGTAGTAGAGTTTTCCCATTACATGGGATTAGTAGAGACCTTCACAAAACAGCTGTGTAAACAGCATCAGTTTGTAGGTTTAGGTTTGAGCATAGTGTTGTGTTTCTCTTACTGTTATTTTGTTCCACCTGCAAAGTTCTGGATGTCCTTCAACATCGCAAAATGATGAAAACGTTGAAAAAATTCGCCAAAAAGTGTTAAGACATCTGTGAGAGGATATGCGAAGGAAACACCCAGAACTTTGACTGGTTCCTTCATCACGACAATGCCCTCACACACATGACCTTACGAGTGACTCACTATTTGGCCTCTTGGGGATGGCCTGTCGTTCCCCACCCTCCATATTCACCAGACCTAGCCCCGTGCAACTTTTTTCTGTTTCCGAGAATGAAGAAAAATCTAAAAGGGAAGTGTTTTGGTGATGTGGAGGCGGTAAAAACAGCTTCCCTACGGGCACTGGACAATATCAAGGTTGAAGAGTTCCAGAGATGCTTCAAACAGTGGGGAAAAAGACTTCACAAGTGCATCGCATCTAATGGAGAGTACTTTGAAGGTGACTAAAGAAATTTTGTAAAAAAGTTAATAAAGTTTTTATACAAAAAATTTGGTTATTTCTGGGACCCCACATATTTATCATGAGGCATTTTTTCTGTTTTTTGTCATAAAATATCCAGTAAAATAGCCAGAAAGGCTTTGTTTATAGGACATTTCTGGATACCATAAGCCTAGAACATGCTGTAAAAATATTGCCATTTCCTCATAGAACACTTCCTCAGAGTGTTATGTGAGGAGTCTATAGTTCAAGCTCTATATGGCCAGGTGTTGCCATCCAGAATAAATTTCACCTGAATAAAGTTGAACATATGTGTAAAGGATTTTGTCCCAATATTTATGGCTTGTCACAGTACTCTTGTCTAAGGAAATTCCAGCCCAAATAATTCAGTGGCATTCTTCATCCCAAGGATGCCACTACCAGAAAAAAATGCCACTAAACAATGTTACTCAGTTAAAACCATGTACCAGTCTCTCCACACAAAAATCTGTCAATCATCTGACTGCAAAGCAAATCATTACTCACTGGTGAACAGGACATTGCTCCAATTGTCTTTAGTCCAAGTGACATGTGCCGAACACTATTATAAATGGATTACCCTGCATCGAGCAAACAATGAAACAGATGCTTGGCCTTCACATACAAATCCATGTGCATGCAAACTGCTCCTTACAGTAGTCATGGATATATGCCTCCCTGTAGCTGCAACAAGGCTTGAACATAAAGTAGGTGCTGTTGCCTGTCTATTGCATCTGACCTATAATGCTAAGTAGAAGTCAGAGCAAGATGTTGTAACTTGAGGGCAACATGAGCCTGGCCTTCTGCTTACTATCCTGATAATTTGGAACTGAGTCCACAGACGTGAAATCACAGAATAGTGGACTCTGAAAAATTGAGCAACATCTCCAATAAATTGATAACATTATATTTAATAGAATGTGCTCAGAAAATAATTATTAGATTATCAAAACATACCTTATGTTGCAGAGATAATTTATTGAAAACTAACATTTTCAGCCTATTCCATAGACCATCCTCAGGTTAAACCAGAAGATTAGAACATTCCAAAAACAGAATATGTAAATTATAAATAATCTAATGGTAACATTATAATCTACCCATGGCTTACCATCTTTGACCATCATCTAAATACAGTGGCGCCTTGCATAACGTACTTAATCTGTTCCAGATGCACGTCCATTAAGTGAAAAATCCGTTATACAAAACGAATTTTCCCATAGAAATACATGTTAAAACATATAATTCGTTCCACAGCATAANGTTTTTTGCCTGTTCATGCACATTGTGTTCATTGTTTTTGATTTTTTCTCTTGCTTTTATTTCAGAATTTGTTATTGAAGATGATTTTTTTCTTGTCCTGATTGACATTACCTGTATATTGATACAGGTAATGTCAATCAGGACAAGAAAAAAATTTATTATTACATAAAATTTATTATTATTATACAAGAAAAAATTTATTATGAATGAAATAAAACTTAAAATTTTGAAAGATTTTTTTTATGAATACTATTTAATTTTAAAAAATATAATGTTTTTCTTACTTTGTTGCGTAATTGCAGGAGTAAGGACAAACTGAGGAGAATTTGGTGGTGACAACATGCCCGATGTTGGAGATTTTGTTGGAGTTGTAGCATCTGCTTGAGGAGAATTATTTGCAGATTTTAAAGAAGGAACTTTGGATGGAGTTTGTTTAGACTGTATAACATTAACACATGTGGTAGTAGAATTGCTCAATTTCTTTGGTGTCTGCTGAACTGTAGTTTGTGTTGTCACTATCGATGATGCTTGTGTTGTGCCAGATTGTTGATTTGAATTAGTAATTTGTTGGGCTTGTCCAGTTACACTGACTGGTGCAGATGCAGAAACAACAGGAGCTGTAACAACAGTTCCCAAACCAGGAATAGTTACAGTGGCTGTTTGAAGACGAACTTGTGGTACCGATGACTGAACTACTGGTCTCACTAAATAAGAGAGAATAAATAATTTTAACATAAAAGAATAACAAGGTAAATGGGAAATAATTTATTACTGTTAATATTAGCTTTTTGAAAACATATAAAAATTATATATTTTACATATGTTTTATATATACAGTAATACCCAGAGTTACGTAACATGTGACTCATGTAAATTTGCAGTTATGTAAAATGTAAATGTCAAAAATTAGAAAAAAAAATCTGAATAAAGTAACATGTAATTTTACAAAGAATTATTCTATTTCAAACTTTCATTCATTCATTCTATCTCTCCCTCTTCCTTTCTTTCTTTTGCACTGTACTAATTTATTATTTTACTGCTCTGCTAATCCTTTACTTTTCAGTCTAATTGTAAGCATGTATGCAAGCATACAGGGCACTCTTTCTCATAAACAATATTTTTCTACAGTATTCAATGAAGGTCAAGCAGTGAAACCAAGCACATCTTCATTGCTTGTTTTTCTATATGTATTGTTTCACATCATTAGTGTAGTTTGTTTTGAGTGATTTGTTTAATACATAACCTGTTTACCACTGCTACATTTACATATTGTTCATTGTTTATGTACAGTACTGTACTGTTAAAATGCAATCGAAATGTCAAACCAAATTTGTTGGTTATAAACTAAAAAAACAAAGGTCTGCAATTACTTTAGAAGAAAAATTGAAAATAATTTGTATGTTCATTTATATGTGTACTTTGTATTTCTATTGTTCTTTATATAATTATATCACATAAATTGATCAAAATTTGTATTAAAAATTTTAATGGTTTTTTTTTAATCTAATGACTCATGCTAAAGTACACAACAAATCATGCCTTTTTACTTAAAGAGTTATCCTAAGTTTTACCCAACACTCATTTTATTGCTCACATAACATCCTCAATGAGTGGCTTGAAAATCAACTTTATTTAGACTTTTTTAGTTTTAAAAAAGGCATATATAACTAACATATGTTTTCACTGAATGCTTTTTAATATAATTTCATTCAAATGTTTTTAAATCTAATTAAATTATTTTTAATGCACTCTATTTGAATGCTTTATATTTGTTTTTATTGTTTTTTGCCTGTTCATGCACATTGTGTTCATTGTTTTTGATTTTTTCTCTTGCTTTTATTTCAGAATTTGTTATTGAAGATGATTTTTTTCTTGTCCTGATTGACATTACCTGTATATTGATACAGGTAATGTCAATCAGGACAAGAAAAAAATTTATTATTGCACTTGAAGTATATAAAAAGTTCCAGCCACTAAAATTCACACATTCATACCTTACCTGAGAATTTACATGTCGTTATTATTTTTTGGAGAGAAGTATAATAGTAAAGGTAAACATGCAAAATGTAATTTTGTATTTTTATTTCTGAATCTAACGATAGATAATTTTTCCTACAATACATTTTATAAATAATATATAACTAAATTTATCATAAAAAATGTGTACATTACCTTTGACTATCTTCACGCTGTTCTGGAGTTAATGGTTTTCCTTTGGACTTATCTACCGCTAAAGAAATATGTGTTGGTCCACTTTTATTTACATGGCTTTTCCCTTCTGCTTCTAATTGTTTTTGCATTTGTTGTTGATGATGGCGTTGAAGAGCAAGAAGTTTGTGCTGAATTTCAGGTGAAGTCTGTTGATTCATTAGTGCTTGACGTACAACTGTAATTATTAAAGTCAATTATTGTTTAAAAATAAATTTTTAAAAAATTAATATTTTAGTTAAGAAGAGAGTAAACAAAGCACCTATATAAATTTTTATACAGATACTTTGTTTACCTTCATTCTCTTCTATAGTCTTAACAGTATGGTATCTTTGTACTTGCTGGAGGCTATTAGGGTGGGAAATAAGGGCAGTTGTTAATTGTAATGCATTATACTGGTAGCACTTTAGTAAGTTCCTTTAGTGTCATACCAAGTACAGTTAACTGCAACTTTGTGAGATGGCAAGAAAATATAAGTATAAAATTTACCACAGAGCATAAAATTAAAGTAATCCACTTTTCAAAACAGAACAGATATAGAGAGGCTGAATGAAAATTCAGCTGCATACTGTTTAATGTGAGAATCCAAAATATTCAAAATATGGACGCAAAGTTTTTAAAATATTAAAACTATCTTATAAAATTATTCTACTGTTAAAATATTAAAACTATCTTATAAAATTATTCTACTGTTATCCTATACTTTGTTCACCTTGGACTTTCTTATGTACTAGGACTTGTTATACTGAGAGAAGAGAAAAACACAATTTTGCCAACATGGACTAAACTAGTTTCCTGATTTATATAATTATATCACATAAATTGATCAAAATTTGTATTAAAAATTTTAATGGTTTTTTTTAATCTAATGACTCATGCTAAAGTACACAACAAATCATGCCTTTTTACTTAAAGAGTTATCCTAAGTTTTACCCAACACTCATTTTATTGCTCACATAACATCCTCAATGAGTGGCTTGAAAATCAACTTTATTTAGACTTTTTTAGTTTTAAAAAAGGCATATATAACTAACATATGTTTTCACTGAATGCTTTTTAATATAATTTCATTCAAATGTTTTTAAATCTAATTAAATTATTTTTAATGCACTCTATTTGAATGCTTTATATTTGTTTTTATTGTTTTTTGCCTGTTCATGCACATTGTGTTCATTGTTTTTGATTTTTTCTCTTGCTTTTATTTCAGAATTTGTTATTGAAGATGATATTTTTCTTATCCTGATTGACATTACCTGTATATTGATACAGGTAATGTCAATCAGGACAAGAAAAAAATTTATTATTACATAAAATTTATTATTATTATACAAGAAAAAAATTTATTATGAATGAAATAAAACTTAAAATTTTGAAAGATTTTTTTTATGAATACTATTTAATTTTAAAAAATATAATGTTTTTCTTACTTTGTTGCGTAATTGCAGGAGTAAGGACAAACTGAGGAGAATTTGGTGGTGACAACATGCCCGATGTTGGAGATTTTGTTGGAGTTGTAGCATCTGCTTGAGGAGAATTATTTGCAGATTTTAAAGAAGGAACTTTGGATGGAGTTTGTTTAGACTGTATAACATTAACACATGTGGTAGTAGAATTGCTCAATTTCTTTGGTGTCTGCTGAACTGTAGTTTGTGTTGTCACTATCGATGATGCTTGTGTTGTGCCAGATTGTTGATTTGAATTAGTAATTTGTTGGGCTTGTCCAGTTACACTGACTGGTGCAGATGCAGAAACAACAGGAGCTGTAACAACAGTTCCCAAACCAGGAATAGTTACAGTGGCTGTTTGAAGACGAACTTGTGGTACCGATGACTGAACTACTGGTCTCACTAAATAAGAGAGAATAAATAATTTTAACATAAAAGAATAACAAGGTAAATGGGAAATAATTTATTACTGTTAATATTAGCTTTTTGAAAACATATAAAAATTATATATTTTACATATGTTTTATATATACAGTAATACCCAGAGTTACGTAACATGTGACTCATGTAAATTTGCAGTTATGTAAAATGTAAATGTCAAAAATTAGAAAAAAAAATCTGAATAAAGTAACATGTAATTTTACAAAGAATTATTCTATTTCAAACTTTCATTCATTCATTCTATCTCTCCCTCTTCCTTTCTTTCTTTTGCACTGTACTAATTTATTATTTTACTGCTCTGCTAATCCTTTACTTTTCAGTCTAATTGTAAGCATGTATGCAAGCATACAGGGCACTCTTTCTCATAAACAATATTTTTCTACAGTATTCAATGAAGGTCAAGCAGTGAAACCAAGCACATCTTCATTGCTTGTTTTTCTATATGTATTGTTTCACATCATTAGTGTAGTTTGTTTTGAGTGATTTGTTTAATACATAACCTGTTTACCACTGCTACATTTACATATTGTTCATTGTTTATGTACAGTACTGTACTGTTAAAATGCAATCGAAATGTCAAACCAAATTTTTTGGTTATAAACTAAAAAAACAAAGGTCTGCAATTACTTTAGAAGAAAAATTAAAAATAATTTGTATGTATGAAAACGGGAAGATGATAATAACAATAGCTGGTGAAACAAATTGACCTATTTCGACAGTAGATATAATAGTGAAGGCAAAAGTTTGCATTGTTGAAAGTCACAATCATTACCAAAAAGAGACTTGATCCGATTTCAAATAATGGAGAAGTTGTTGTTTCATTGGATCGAGGATATGACACAGAAGTGACTACCATTAAGTTTTCTAATTATCAGGAAAAAGCTAGGTCTCTATGCAAGGATTTACAAGAGAAGGCAGACAACATGAATACGGAGAGCACATTTAAAGCTAGTGTTGGATGGTTCGACTGATTCAAAAAAATGTTCAAATCTGCATATCAAAATCATGGGCGAGGCAGCAATTGCAGATACAGATGCAGCAAGTGAATTTTCTGAAGTTCTGGCTGAAATTATTGAGAATGGGGAATATTCACCCGAGCAAATATTTAATGTTGATAAAACGACTCTATTTTGGAAGAGGATGCCAGCTCAAACATTGCAAGAGGAAAAATCTATGCCTGAATTCAAGGTCACAAAAGATCAGATCATGGTTGTTTGGCACAATGCAAAAGGGGACTTGAAAATTAAACTGCTTACAGTGTACAATTCTCAAAAAAAGCATGCTTTTAAGAACATTGACTCAAGTATGCTACCTATAATCTGGAAAGTTAATACCAAGGCTTGGGTTACATGTGTGCTTTTCAGAGACTGATTTAATGACCATTTTGTTCTCCAGGTAAAGGAATATGTGCTAAAAAAGGAATCCCATTTAAAGTGCTGTTGCTACTGGACAATACTCCTGGCCATTTGGAAGAATTAGATGACTTTTATCCTAATGTGGAAGTTGTTTACATGCCTTCTAGAAACCATCTCACTGTTGCAACCAATGGATTAAGACATTATTGTGACTTTCAAAGTCCATTATCCATGGCATACATTTTCCCAAGCAATCAAGGCCATTCATAGCAGTAATTTGTGATTTCTGGAAGAACTACAACATCCTCAACACTGGTAAAAACACTGAGGTGGCATGAAATGAAGTCAAGCAAACAATGATGAACGCTGCATGGAAGAAACTGTCCAGAAATGGTCAATGATTTTAGGCATTTAACCAAAGGAGAACCAACAAATGCAGCAAGCTATGGAGATGTGCATGAATCTGGCATAGCAATTAAAACTGGAAGTGGATAACGATGACATCAACAGACTTCTTTTAAGTCACAATGAAGAACTAACCAATGACGACCATATTCAGTTGGAGGCATTCCAAAATTCCAAAGAAAATGAGTCATTTGAAGTGCCAACTCCAAACAAAAAAAATTTTCAACTAAAGGGTTAGGTGAGATTTTTAATCTAATAGATGTGGCATTATCCAAATTAGAATAGATGGATTCAAATACTTAGCAGTTCGAAAATATAAACCACTGCATCAATTCTGATATGACCATCTACAAGGCAATCTACAATGAAAAGAAGTGGGCGACTAGACAATCAACTTTGGACATGTTTATGCACCTTCCCAATGCTGGATATCCAGAGCCAACTTAGAAGTGAAAAGAAAATCTTCTTTTCAAAACTTAATATATCAGATTATTTTTGTTTCTTTGTTTCATTTATGTATGTACTTTGTATTTCTATTGTTCTTTTATACAAAAAAATAATAAATAATATATGTACAGTAAACATATAATAATAAATACAGTTTTGAGTTATTAATTACATAGTTACATTTAAGCAATTTACAAAGCATTACTTATGTAACTTGGGGTATTACTGTATATTGCATTTTCACAGATTATCTGGTATGTTAGTCTAACTGGGGAGACTTTAAAATCAGGTATTTCTGGCATGCCAGTTTATCCCGGGGAATGCCAGCATGACAGTTTATGAGATTATACATCCCTCTCCAGAGTATATAAAAAAACAAAGTGAGTTACATCGTGTGGCATTTTGTAGACACCAGTTTTTATTCTAAACTGTGAAACTGTTGGCATTACATCAAAAACTGCAATTATATGTTTAATTTCTGCATTATGTCTTCAATCTAATAGTGTAAAATACTTGTGGGATGCCGAAAGTGCTTTTTTCATATTTATTGTAATTTATTCCTAAAACACAAAACTAAATGTATTAAATTTCAGAAACTTGCTGTAAATTATCTCAATTTACATAGTTAACATATGCTTTGTAACTATTGTTTTTGTGGCAGATTGTTAATTGTGGCAAATTACAATGTTATTATTTTATTATACTCAGAAGAATGTTTTCTTTAATATTTATTTAACAACTAGTTTTGTTAGATCCAATTAATCTTACTTTTTCGCCACAGTTTAACCAGTACAAGGGGTGTTCAAAAAGTATTGGACCTTTGGTCAGCAAAAATACATTTATTGATTTTTGAGGTACAAAACCATAATCCCCTTCAAAGTAGTCTCCTTGGTAATGTATACACTTCTCCCAGTGCTCCTGCCATTGCTGAAACGCATCTTTTGGAATGGCCATCAGCTGGTCCATCGCATGATATCCTCTCTTGACTAAAATCGGGTTCCTTTTAGCGGCATTTTCAGCTTGGGAAATAGCCAAAAGTCACACAGAGCCATGTCAGGAGATTACGGAGTGTGACGAACCACAGGAATGTTGTGTTTGGCGACGAAAGTCCGAATCAGATGCGCAGAATGGATGGGTGCGTTATCATGATGCAGCTGTCAAGTTTTGGTTGACCACAGATCTGGTCGTTTGCATTGCACAGCATCACAAAGATGATGAAGGACCTCCTGCAATGGTTTGGCCTTGTGGTGCGTACTCACGATACACCACCCCCACAGGAGTCAAAAAAACTATCAACATGACCTTGACATTGCTGCAGACCTGCTGCACTTTTTTTTTTGCCTCGAGGATCGTCCCCGAAAGCCTGCTGAATCTTGCGAATGGTTTCTGCTTGTGTATCGCCAAGCTTTTGGCAAAATTTGATGCAATATCGCTGCTCACGTTGTTCAGTCATTTTCCAACTTAGTGGAATCCAACGAGCGCTCACTACACGTCCTCACTCATAGGCCAACCGCCAGCAACTGACGCTTCCTGCAAGTGGGAAAAAATTCAGGACTGTGCATGACTGTCCCCTCCACAACTCCACTGAAAGAGACCTCCCGTGCATCATTGGTTTACACGGGAAAAATAAAGGTCCAATACTTTTTGAACACCCCTCGTATGTCTCTAACCCCTGGGTTTCCAGCATGATGGTCTCCACCCAGTTATAGAGAAAATACAGTATACATACATACATGGTGAAATCAAAAAGAAACTGGACTGTTTTTACAGATTGTACTTCACACTATCATCAATCTTTTTTAAACCAAGAATTGATGTATTAGACATCTGAACATCAGTCTACCAAGTGGGGATAAGTTTTTCAAATGAGAACACTTGCTACACATAATTTTGTAACATTGTGTTAGTGTTGCGCTGTGATTTGACAATGACCTTAAAAATTAAGAACACATTAGATTTTTCATTAAACTTTTAAAATATGCCGTAAACTCTTGAAATACTTCAGGAGTCCTAAGGAACCAAAGCCATAAACAGAACTCAATATGACAAATCAAAAGCATGACGAAGAGTAAGGTGATCAGTTTTTTATCATAAAGAGATTGTATATTGGGAATTTGTCCTCTTGGTCAGACTTTTATCGAGTTGAGTTGCTATTTTGAGTTGATTGCAGAACATATTTATCACAAAAGACCAGAACTGTAGTGCAACCAAACCTAGCTCCATCATGACAGTACTTCTGCACTCATAGCCTTCAAAACATGAACATTTTTGGGAAAAAAGAAATTAATTACCCTCCCTTCCCCACCTTTCTTATTTGCTGGAAAATAGTTTGTCCCTTATCTTTGTTCTCCAGTGTTTTAATATGGTCAAGAGCAAGTCTTTTGGAATTTCTGAAATAATGACTTCCAAAGAATGTTTGAGGCTTGGCAGAAGTGCTGGAACCACTATATAAATGCAGAGGGAAGACTACTTTAAAAGGAGATAGTGGCCAGATTTAAATTAGTTAAGTATCAAAGTTTTTATACACCAAATCTAGTTTCTTTTTGATTGCACTTTATACATAAAATAAAGAAATAATTTTTATTTATTATACATTATGAATATAATTTTTGCAACTTAAATTATGCTTTTTCTTATGAATCCAATGAGAAAGTTGATAGTTCAGCATCAGTCTTCTACCAGAGTCATTGAAAAAACAATTTATGGTATTTCTCATTAAATTAAAAAAAAAAAAAACATATTAACCTCTTATTTGTGCATGTACAGGTAAAATTTGTTGTTGCTGTGTTAACTGCTGTACAGAAGTTGCAACCTGGGGACGTATCTGTATAATTTTTGGGCCAACAGACACAGCAGGAGAAGAAACAACAGTGGATGATGTTGCAACTGCAGGTGATCCAGTAGCAGTAAGATTAGTAGAAATTGCAGCAGGTGTTTGAAGCTATAATTAAAAATAAATTCAAAATATAGCATAATTTATTAATGTTAACATACTATATATGATATGTTTAATTCACAACAAACACTTTTTTATAATAATAAATACATCAGTAAAATTTAATATATGATATTAAAAATATCTTACATACAATTAACTGTTTAATTAAATTAAATCAATTCAGCAGCAAAGGATAAAGAAATTGATATAAAGAAAGCTAAATTTTCTGTAAAAGTTCGTCCGATGGAGAATTACTTTTAATAAAATAAAAGACAAAACTGTCCAAAAAGGATCACCATTTATTACTTGTGTTCCAAGACTAAAACATTTTCGGCGACTGACCTTCCTTTTTAGGCTACTTGTCGCCGTAAAGTTCACAAAAAGTCCTTTTAAAAACACAAAACNTATCGAAGTAAAATCCGTGCACTACTACTTTAGAACGATGAATGAAATTTGATAAAAAAACTCCCATTAAAAAACAATTAAGAGTTAATCGTGCGTCATTAAAGGTATATTAAAATCGCGATAAAATATTTTCGCGCGGGAAAAAATTTTTGAAAAAATTTGGAGACTTAAAAAACATCCAAAAAAAACAAAAATTTTTTCGGAGGGCCCAAATGCCCGAGTTTTATATAACGCTATGGAACTTTCCCGAGTTATCTCGGGTTTTAAAGATTGCAGCATTACTTCTTGCCGCCTGCGTATGGCTATGATTGGTCATCTATATTCAGCAAACGAAATCAACAACGCAGTTAAGGAGACAAATTCCCTGACTTTTTGACAATTTTCGACAAATTCCCTGACTTTTTGACAATTTCCCTGACTTTCCCTGACTTTTTCAAAAAATAATGAAAATCCCTGACTTTCCAGATGCATAGGAACCCTGTTTATGACAGTAGCCTATTATCTTACTACAAAGTCATCTGGTCAACAACATTTCTGTTATTTTAGAATTGTTGTAAACCAATAAGATCACTGCTTTGGAAGGAACAAAATTTGATGCAGTCATTCTAATACTCTCTCAAAGATAAACAACAAAACAACTTAAAAAGTATGTTTTGTTTTATATCATAAAAATTAAATTTTAAAATCATTTGTTATAAGAAGTAAAAATAGCATATCACTAAGTTATACTGAAATTGGAATTATTAACAAAATGTTTGCTTAAAGTATAATTTAGTATACAAGGAAAGTTATACAGACCAAAAAGAATACATGGTCGTTTGTAAGTCATTTTCAAAAGTAGCATATTTTTTGTATATATAGTATATAAATTATGTATATTTTTTTAACTAATATATTGAACATAATGATTTTTTCATATCAATAAATTTTTAAACATGTAAACATAAAATTTTTAGATTTACAATTTTCTATTTGGATATTGTTCAATAACTAAATATCAATTTTTTAATATTTTTAACATTCAACATTTTTAAACAAACATTCTAATAAATACTCCATTACTGAATAAATTACATCACATTTCAAATAATATTCTAAAAAAATGATTATATATATAATTTCTTTAAATATAATATGTATAACTTACATATTACAGTAAAATGTCATTGTAACAAATTCACAAAGGTCATTGAAATACATTTGTTTTAATAAAATTTTGATACTCTGAAATATAGACAAAATGCTAGAAAATTGAAAAAGTTATTAAATAATGTAAAACTTTTACACCATAAAAGCAAAAATTTTTACAGCTAAGTTTGTTTAATACCAATTAGAACAAATGTTATACATATAAAATTATAAAAGAAACCATTGTGAATAAACAATTTAAGACTAACTTTTTTATTTCTTAATTCTTTCCATCGTGTAAGCATTAGGAGTGTCTTTCAACCATGTCCATTGTGGACATGTCTAGATCAAATCATTCCTGAAAAATTCTGAGTCAGCTTAGACTTGAATCTAGGTTTCCAAAACAACAGACCAGTGTTGGCTATCTGGCCATCTATGTTTGTAACTAAAAAATTTATTTACAGTACTAATAATCACACTTCTCTCTTCAGAAAAGCTGTTATCTATTGCTAAAAAATTCTGTAATTTTCTATTGTATTATACGCAAGATTAAAATCTCCATAAATTTATGAAGTTTATCACTGCATTCAAAATGCACCTAAAATAATTACTTTGACTGTCTTCTGCAGTATTAGACGAAGTGAAAATTACTATTCTGAATAACAGTACAATATAATACAATAGAGTAATGATACTAAATTACAAATTAAATTGGCAGTTACAGTTATAATTCATGTTACCATATAAATGTCAAAATAAAATCCATTCACAAAAAAAGATGACTAACTTATATATTCCAAGACTTTGTTATGATGATTTTATTTTGTAAAAAGTGAATTATTATTATATTAATCTGAAATTTTTGTTAGGCCAAGAACACACATGCATAAAATTGTGTGGCAGAAAATTGAATCAGAAATCAGCTTTCGGTTCAGTTTCTCTTTGATGCTTTTATGCCAGAACACATACATAAACATTCTGGCTGAATAGGAAATGGAAATGTAACAACATACCATTGTACCTTCCATTTTTTCTCCACTGCATCTGCTATAATTTAGAAAATGTAAATTAATAGATTTGTATTCTGAACTGAAATAAAGAATGTGTGATCTAAATACTATATATCGATTCTACTAAACCTACCTGTTATTTGTAATTTAGCACCTATGGCTGTCCATAAACTTTGTTTAAATACAGTGTCTTTATACATGACACTTTTTTGTCATAAAGACACTGATGTGGTTAAAAGAATTCAATAAAGTCTTCTATTTCATTTATTTTTTGTTTCTTGGAGACTGTCACAATTGTAGGGCTAACTGCCATTGCCACCATTATTAGAATAAAAACCATGTGTTTACTTTAATGCCACAAAAAAGACTTCTCTTTATTGGAGGAATTTTGGCATAAAAATTTTACGCCAAAATTTTATGCACATGAAAAGACTTGCTCTACTCTTTTTTCAGTTATTTTTCAGCCAAAATTTCAGAAAAATTTTTACGCTTTCTGTTTTATGCTAGATTTTACACCAGATTTTATGCATATGTGTTCCTGACCTTAGTGCTAATCATTAAACTGAAATATTTTACATAGGATGCATATAGATTAGAAAAAGATTGAAAATAATTTTGTTATATCTGTATTTGTTATGAAAAGATTTCACTGTACTACTAAATTCATATATTTTCACATTTTACATATATAAATGATTTATATATAAAATTTCATTTAAAAAAAATGAGAAAGCTACAAAAGTATTAAAAATTAATATATAATTTCCAATACTCATAAGAATATAATAATTTCATAATTGGCAAAGAATTTCATCTCTTAAAACTTACTTTAATTTGGGCTGTTTGTCCTTGAGAAGAAACCAACTGAATTGTTCCAGTAGGTGCTACACTTGCTACAGTGGGAAGTGATATTGCAACAGGAGTAGTTGCTCCAGATATACTAGTTGTACCTACAGCAGAAGTTATTGTACCTATAATAAAATAAACAGTTATTTTCTTTTTATTTTAAATATAAATTGAACTAGTAAAATAATTTATAGCAAACAATGAATAAACAAATATGAAAAAAAATAAATATCAATAGTTGGTGTTTTTATAATCTTTTAATAAATATCAACATTTAAATCTCAATATAAAAATGATAATGATTATACAATTCAGGAATATTGTTTTCATACCATTTGTCTGTAATGTTTTGTATTTAAAAAATACTCCTATGTAACTTTTTGTAATATAAAATCTTCCATTCTGATATCTTGTAGTCCAGAGACTCAAGTTTCAAATAAATATGCACATATGACAATAAAGATGGTATCAATAAAGCATTTGAATTAAATTAAAGTATTAGATGAAAGCATAACAATAATACTAGTAAGTGATTATAATATCATAACAAAGGACAGTTTCCTGTGGAATAACAACACAATTCAGAGCAACCTTTAGTACTTTGTACGGCCTNAAGTATACAGATCAATCCATGTTTTTCATACAAAAACACTGAACATAGATTACATATTTCTATTTATATATTTTTATACTAGCCAAAAATACCTACAGGGTTCCTACTCAAATTTTTGTTTTGAATTCCCTGACTTTCCCTGACTTTTTCAAAAAATAATGAAAATCCCTGACTTTCCCTGATTTTCCCTGACTTTCCAGGTGCGTAGGAACCCTGTACCTATCAAATGTTCAATTTGACAAAATGAATCAAGATCATTTTTAATTTTTTACTTATTATTAAAAAAAATCTGTGATTTTGCTGTAAATATTTTTAAGAAGTTGTGTGTAATCAAAAAATTCATGAGATTAGGGTAAATTGTTTTGTTGTTTTTGTAACCCTCATATATTGGAAATTATAATTTTAGGAATAGTCAACCAATCAATCGATCAATATATCTGCACATATGACAATAAAGATGGTATCAATAAAGCATTTGAATTAAATTAAAGTATTAGATGAAAGCATAACAATAATACTAGTAAGTGATTATAATATCATAACAAAGGACAGTTTCCTGTGGAATAACAACACAATTCAGAGCAACCTTTAGTACTTTGTATGGCCTCATCTTTCCTGGACACATGCAGCATCTGCTCAAAGACAGATCTGTTCCCTACAGACTTACTGTACAGGCACTGTAGGTCTCCATGGAACAGATTTTGCCACAGATGTTGCAACTGCTGCTCCAGATCTCGCATATTCATACATGATCAAAAATTGTTATCCCATCTGATCCTACAAATGCTCAATGAGTGATAAATTTCTGGAGACTAAACAAGCAAGTGTGGCAAGATTAAGTCAAGCATTATCTTACTGGAAAATGGCTGTTTGTAGTCCTGCAGTCCTGCTATGAAAGAAACACATAAGAGCATGTACCACTGCAATACTAGAAATGATTAACTGTCATACAAGAGGATTCCTCAGATCAATATGTCAGCAGTGAGAGCAGTGTGCCACTCAATAGTAAAGGTGAGATTGAATCATCTACCAGTGGTTCTCCATGCTAAAGTAGTGGTCATTTGTTCTCAAACAGAAGCAGGATTTGCCAATAAAGACATTACACTGCAAGTCTATAGCAGTTTATTTCACAATAGCACTACAAAAATAGCCAATAGTGTTGGAGTGTCAATGGCAAGATGCATAGTGGTCACCATCTAATTGCTTCTGCAAATTGCTTGCTAATAGTACAGGAAGAGACAGGGATCAGTATTGGGACCTCCATATATCTCTGGATGGTTAACAATGATGCCACTGCAGTTATTTGGGCTTGTCTCAATCACATTATCAACTCTCCTAGTGATCTATTTGGGCATCAAGAGTCTGCCTATAATGTATATATGTATCCACTGTCTTCAACATTTCTTCACAGTCTGATCACAATGGCCTAAATGGTGGGAAATTCAGCAAAACAGCCATGATTATACAGCAGTTCTCAAACTCCATCACTTGTGCATGTCTTTGGTTGCATTGTACAGGCATGCCTGGCATTCAAAGATCTGTAAACAACAGCTACATTGAAAACTCTAAACACAGTGAGGCTCTGCAAATATTTTTATTGAATACTTCGGTAATAATTTTAAAGCCTCTGGTGCCATTACCTGATGTGCAATCACAGCTGCAATCATTTAAATAGCTGTCTAAGACAGCTGTATGCCAAGTTTTGCATTATCAGACAATTCTGTGTATATAACATTTTTGTCAATAAATATACAAATAATTTATTTTGCACTGATCACAATCTGAAAACTATACATTTTAGAGAATGTTAGAATTTTTTACGTAAACTCATAAAAATAGTCCTGAGACAAACAAAATACAGTGTAACTGCAATTTATAAGTGTACTTTGTTCCTGAACTCTCATTAATTGAAATCTTACAAAAGAGAACAAGCTCTTCCATTATTTCTCAGTCAAAATATGTATCTCATTCCAGCAAAACCCTGTCATTCTACACATGTTTCCCAAATAAAACTGAAGTGCTACCAAACAACTATAGTATTTACCTATCAACCAATAATTCTAAATAAAATAAAATAAATGAAAGTGCATATTAGATCATTCATCAATACAAAAGGAACCTACACAAAATGAGAAAAGCAAGTAGGTACATTATTCAGCATTTCTTTATTAATGATAAAAAAAAAAAACTAAAGTTAGTTAAAATATTAAGCAAGCAGGAAACAAAATAGAGTAAAACAAAATTGTTTTTAATAAAATTTTAAATCACTGGTAATAAAAGTTTTTAATGTAGGTATTCACTAAACTGAACAATCATGTTAAAATGAATGGCATTACTCTTAGTAAACAAACCATGCAAATGAAACAAAGGAAATGGAAACCAGAACTTATGAGCCATCTAACTGTACTGCATGGAAATTTCAATTTGTCACACTTCAGATTAACAATATTAACAAGAAAAAATATTCTAGTGCTTGTTGTATCAAATAGTTCATTTAAAGCATTTGTAAATCAAAGTCGCACTGTATGTAATAATAATAATAATAATAATAATAATAATAATAATATACCTATGGTAGGACTACTGGAAGAAACTGCTGCTGCTAATGAAATTGCAGGACGGATTGTTGTCAATTGTATTGTTGGTTGTTGGGTTGATTGTGCACCTTGTTCTTGTTGTACTGTTGACTGTTGAACAGTATTTGATACTGTTGGTAACGTCAGTAATTGAAGACGTCCATCAGATAATCGAATTAATTGCTGACCTATTCAACGCAAAAAAAAAATTATGATTAAATATCAAAAATAAATAGTAAATATAAAAAATAAAAACTATATACAATTATTCCTAAAGTAACAATTTAATGCTATAAATATTGATATTACTACTTATGAAAATTAAAACTGAAAAGATTTAATTTCAAAAATAATAATTATAATAAATTCATAATTTTAAGTTAAAATCCTTACCAGGCATTAATCCTCTAACTTGTAACTGTCCATTTGGACCTTGAATAATCTGTATCTGAGTACGCATTGGTGAGCCTTGTGCTTGTTGTGTCTGGACAACAGCTGGACGAACAGCTTGACCACTTAGCTAATATGAACATATTTATGATTTATTTTATTAAAAAGCTTCAATTAATTTCAGTAGTTAAAAATAATTTTAGAAAATAAAAGTTCTTTAAGTTCATGATTAGTTGATTTATTTAATCAAAAGATGCTATAAATAAGTATACAGATCAATCCATGTTTTTCATACAAAAACACTGAACATAGATTACATATTTCTATTTATATATTTTTATACTAGCCAAAAATACCTATCAAATGTTCAATTTGACAAAATGAATCAAGATCATTTTTAATTTTTTACTTATTATTAAAAAAAAATCTGTGATTTTGCTGTAAATATTTTTAAGAAGTTGTGTGTAATCAAAAAATTCATGAGATTAGGGTAAATTGTTTTGTTGTTTTTGTAACCCTCATATATTGGAAATTATAATTTTAGGAATAGTCAACCAATCAATCGATCAATATATCCTATTGACCCAAATATAACTCAACTCCAAATTTTGGAAATTTTATTTTTTGAAAAAAAAATTAGAAGCTGAATATAAGTTAACTTTTCTATTATTAATTTTTTGTATACAAAATAACAATTTGCAGTAAAAAAAGTTCTGGTGAAGATGAATGTGAAGAAGTTGTCATTGAAATGATAACTTCTTCACATTCATCTTCACCAGAACTTTTTTGCCACAATTCCAGTATCCTATTTCATTGACATCATGGTCTTCAGCCTCAAAGAATTTATCATTCTGTTCTGTCCAAGATAACACAACATTTCTTAAAACACCATAATTGTATGTTTACCAACAATCATTCATAATTCTACTGTTATTCTAATTTTTGAAATAATGTGAAAATTTTATTACTATTTATCCAAGTAATTGATTATGAAAATTACAGTAGTGTGTCGTTTATCCGAATCAATTGGGGACTGGGGTTGTTCGGATAACTTATTTTTTGGATAACCAATTATATACGAAAAAATATATTAATTTATCCCGTGTTGAAATTTTCCTCCGCTGCGTGTCACTTCGCATTGAATTTTCGTCGATGTTAAGCCTAACGAAGACTATTGTATCGTTAAAAATTATTTTTTTATTTTGTACAAACAAAATAAACATATTGAAAAATATAAAAACAATAAAAAATTATACTTCAGAAGTTAATTTAATATCAAAAACATAAAATATTTGAGTAGCTGAAGACATAGCCAAAGATTACAGCGCCACAGCACTGGTGAAAATTTAAATTTGTCGACTGGAATTCCTTCGGATAACCGACCTTTGGATAAACAATGCTCTACTGTAGTTGTGTTCAGATCCACTTCTTTCTTTTCAAAATTACTTTAATTAGAAATAAAATTCTTTTTAAATTTCTTATTTCCAAATATCTAGGAATCAATCATCATAAAAGTATTTTTTATTGCTTTCTTAGTAATGTTTACTAATTGCATTCAAATAAAAGATCAGAAAATTGTACCCAATTGGTTTGTTTTACAGAAAGAAATAAATGCATTGGATGTCTATACTATACATAACAAATTGTAACTTAATGCTTCTTTTTGTAAATATCAATATAAACAAAATTTAAAAAGTTAGAGAGAAAGACAATGTCCTATGTATTGGTTAGTATATGCTGTCTGAAATATATACCAAACCAGGGGAAATACACTTCCTTTCATATTTCACTAGTATTCCAGAAAGTCTATTTGAGTTTTATGACTAAAACAAAACTAAAATGGTTTTGTCTTTGTGTTTCATTTTTGCTTTCTTATTTTTTTTATAACTATTTAAAATGTTTTTTATAAAGTCTAAAACATATAATCATATCAAATACATAAATTTATAATTATAACAGAAATTCATTTTATTTACAATAAAATAAATTCTGCAGTAAATTTTCAGCAACCTTCCTCCAAGTTTTGACAATTGCTTGATTAATAGACTCTTAGAAGTAACATAAAAAAAAGTTATCAAAACTGATCACTTTTTCTTGAATATAATAAAAACAAATCAGTTTAATTTAGTTGATTATTTACAATCATGCCAAAGCACTTAATGCACACTCATACTTTTGTGGGCTATAACATGATAGATCATAATTCAACTGCTGGTATTGAGCAACACTGCAACACTAAAATAACTGACACAGTGAATTTTAGCATCAGTTTAACTTTGTACAATGTATACCACAGACAGTTATTGAAATCAAAGAAACTTTAAATTGGACTCCAATATAGGTCAAGAGCAATTTTTCACCTCTAAAACTGGAACAACACATTGACTAATATTCAAAGCAATATAGTACTTTCACAATTGATCAATATACTTTCATACAGCCAAAAGATTGAATTAATTACTTTTGTCAATAAGTGTACAATTAAAAAAGCTGTCATTGTTTTCAAAAATTTATTTGATAACTATCTTAAGATCCCAGAATTGCCCAAGAAACCTGTAATGAGATGATACAACTGAACATTTTTTATGGCTAGATAATGGCATATAATGAACAATGTATGAAAATATTCAGTTATGAAAACAAAATATTCAACACTGAATATGTTCATGTATTTAAAATATCAAGTGAATAGTCTCCCATAAAAGTTTAAGAATGTGCATATAAAGTTATATATATATATAATAAAAATTCAAATTGTTAGCTGAACTTAAGCCTAAACTACTAGATTTGTTGAGCCATACAGAGAATCCAGATTGAGGATTCAAATTCTATTCTGAACATACAAAAAGTAAATAAAAAGCCATTCACTGTTTTTTTCTGAAAGTAAGAAAACTGTAGGCCTTGTAACTACTGTACAAATTTATTCGTATCTTTATTTTCAAGTTTGATGTGCATAATATTTAATACTGTACTGTGTTTCATTTTCAATAATGTTCTTTATGAAAAAAAATAATAAAAGCAAGCTAAGTAATTTCTCAATCCATAATGACTCTTGGTAATCCAGATTATTTAATAATTTGATATCATTTCAGTCCCAATTTTATCAGATGATCAAGTTTATAATGCATTTAAGTTTCATTATAAAGTTTTTTTTTTAATTTATGATATATTAGTAATATATTTTTCAATTTTTAATATGCATAAGTTGTTGAAAACTAACATATTTAACCATTTTGAAGAATCACAGATAATGATTTTAAACCCATAAAGTACTAATTTCAAAATAAAATTGACATATAATTTTTTACCTGTGTTGTGGCTTGGGGAACAACACCTCTAACTGTCAATACAGTAGGACGAGCATTTGAAAGTGTAGGGGTTGTATTTGCAGTACCTCCAGTACTTGGCCGAACAATTAATTGTGGAGATTTAGGTAGAATTGTTGCAGTGATAGGAAGCTTAATAGTAGAATTACCAGAAGCTGTAGTTGAAGTTTGACCTAGGAAAAAAATTCATGAAATTTAAATATATATATATATATATTTCACTTATAAATATCAAAGTATAAAGAATAAGTACAATTTAAAAAAAAAAAAATTATTTTAATATGTAATATCTCCAGGAATAAAAATCACTCAAAGCTAAAATAATTTTGACTAATTATTAGAAAAACATTTAATGATGCTAGCTCTCTCTCAAATATATCTACAATGATCACAGCCAATGAAATACAGTAGCTCCCATTATGTCATGGATTCAGATATATCACGCTTTTTTTTGGTTCCCAAATTTTAAAAGCACTTGAGTCAATAAATTTTAAATTATCAATTGCCATTGAATTTCTTTTTGCAACAAAATAGAATATTTTATTCTTACCACATTCCTTAAAAGTACCATTGCAGGTGAAACAATAAATTAGTCAAGATATAAATAAGCGAAACAGGCAGACAGATCAATTATCATTTGTGTTTCCTTTTAATATTAAAAGTTGTTTATTTAATTGTTTTAAATACTGTCTCCTCATTTACATGTTTCTGTGAATTTTAAATTTTACACCTTTATGTGAAATTTCAAATTCACCTTGTAATGTGTAAGGAAAAGATTTCTTTACTTCTGAACAGAAAGTTCTAAAATTTTTATATAGTAATAAGTTTATTTTGCTTTTTACAGAATTTTTACTCTGTAATTTTATAAGTTTTCATGTTCTACTATATGTTCAATATTTGTTTTTTAAATTTTCAATTTTTGTATTTACAATTTTTATTGAAAAATATAAATTACACAAATTTTTAATAAGAGATTTATTATGAAATACAGTACTGTATAAAAAATCGAAACTGATATTTTGTTTTTATATCAACAGTATTTGTCTTTAAATGTCATTGTTAAAGAAACAATAATGCTAAATGGGTGTTTGTGTTTATGTAAATGTCAATTAATACAACATAACCACAAATAAAATTCAGTATTGGCAAAGTAAGCTTATTTTATATCAGAAACACTTGCTGATGAAAGAATAGAGGATAGAGATTGCATAGCATGTATAATCTGTTTAGTAAAAGTCCAGAATTTTTAGCACTCTTTTATATCATGCGACCGGAGATGTTGTGCTTTTGCTTTGTCTCCCAAAAAATGAAATATAATGAGAGCTACTGTACAATCTTTTATTTTCAATAAATAAAAACATATTCATTGTACTTTTAGAAATATGAAAAATTACTGAAACAAAAATTTAAAAACAGATTCATTTTAAGAAAATTATAAATTAATAATAATCTAATAATTAAACATAATAAACATTTATTATACAATTTTTTAAATCTAATATTTTATTATTTCATAATGAATTATAAATATTGTACTGGTAAATGCTGATGTAAAAACATAATTTTTTTTTTTTTTCTAAATAATCCCATAAGAACAACTTAAGTTCTTTTCTTAAAATTTTAACAGAGATCTCTAAAAATATAAATTAAAAAAACAAAAAATCATCTGCATTAAATTAATCTATTGCTCATATTCACATGGAGTAAAAACAATCTTTTACCAGAAACAGAATCTCTCTTTAATATTTATAGGATTTTTTAAAATGTATACAAACATTGCTAAACCCGATATATAATATAGCTAAACACCAACCAAGTGCCGAAATTCTATCGAGCTAGTTTAAGGCTAATTACTAAATGAATTACGTAACCAAATTGACACTAGAGGTAAGCATTAGGCGTCATCTCTATGAAGCATATAGGAGCTAATGTTATAACGTTAGCATCTATAAACTGGAAGAGGAGATTGGACTGGAGGTCTGGATAGTGTAATTGGCAATGCATCTGCATGGTAAGCAGGAGTTGTGGGTTCAAGTCCCACTCTGTGCCGATTTGTTCTCCCAGCAGTTCTAAATTATTTAAATTAATTAATTTTATTTATAATTATTAATGTTAGTAAGAGATGGCTTACCTCTAGAGCCAAATTGGTTACGTAATTCATTTAGTAATTAGTCTTAAACTAGCCTGATAGGATTTCGGCACTTGGTTGGTGTTTAGCTATAAAATGTAATAAATTAATATACAGTAAGACCCCGCTTAATGCTGCCTCATTTAACGCGGTCTGCCTCAAAGCCTAAAAAAAGCTCAAAACTTATTCTGATTCAAATTATTGTGGCATTTCATTGATTATTCCCAAACACGAACCAATCAGCAAAAGGTGGCAATTCAGTGTAGTGCTGTATTTTCTTTAAATTTATGTTTGTTTGGTGCAATTTTGGAAAAAAACATAGCATCATGGATGCCATAGGCAGTATCAACTTTGCTTGGCAAGAATTAACTGATAACTGCATGAATGAAGTGTGGAAGAAGTTATGGCTGAAGTTATCCAAGAATTCACAATGAGAAGAGCCAACTGCTGTATTGTTAGATTGACCAAATTGTCAACCTAATAAATACAGAAGACTAGGAGATGTAGACAAGCATGATATTTAAGAGTTACTGCAGGTTTCTGTTGAGAGCCTTACCAACGACAACCTTCAAGAACTGGCAGAACAAGAAATTCATGTAGAACTGACAGAACAAGGAATTCATGTAGAACTGGAGAATAGTGACTCTGAAAACAAAGAACCCAAAATATTTCTCTACAGATTTCCTTAGTAAAAGTTTGGTAAGATAACTGAAATCATTGATCAAATTGTAGCGAATGATCCAGATTTTGAAAGGAGTGTGTAAAAGCAAAATGAGGCATTTTGGATGGAATCTTCTGCTACCAACATTTGCTTAAGGAAAGAAAAAAGCAACAAACGAAACCTCATGACTTTATCACAAAAAACAAGAATTTCAGAAAAGCTAGGACCTTCATCACAAAAAATGAACTTTACCTTTCTGTGTGCATATGTTTGTGTGTTATTTAACATATATTATTATGCAAATTAATATAAAAATAACTTAAAATTAAAGTAAAATTTCTTTATTATTTACTCTGTTTAAAATGATCTCGTTTAACACTGTTTCATTTAGCGTTTGTCATCTAGGAACGTATCCCTCACGTTAAGCAAAGTCTTACTGTATGTATTTAAAACAGTATATTTGCAACTTCACATAATTCTATAGTAAATAGTTTTCAGCTCAGAATTCTAAAAAATCCTACACAAGATATATATTTTCTTATCTTATTTTGTGATCTACAGATAAATTTCAAATATGATCAAAAATAATGACTTAAATCATTTCTTCATTAAAATTTCAATAATTTAGTAGATATATTCTAAACTTTATATCCTAACTTTATATTCATACATATCATTTAATCCTTAATTTCTAAGATTTTTTACTAAGGTAAAATAAAAACCAAGTAAAAATTTTAAAGTGAAACTTTCCATTAATGTTTTTCAAATACTCTAATCTGGGATAATTTTGTTAATAACTTTAATTTGTAAATAATCTAAATAAATTATTTTATATAGTTCATTCAAAAAACATTATTTTTTCTTACCTGTTGGTGTATCAGTTTTAGGTGTTCTGCTAGTAAATATACGCCGCACACCTTTGTAAGTTGAAGTAGACGGACTGCCTACTAAAGTTGACAAGCCAGATTTTACACCAGAAGAAACAACAGCCACCTAGAAATTATAAATAAATTATCTGCATTTAATTTGTAGAATATTATAAGTATATTGTTTATATACAATGATATAAAAGCATCTACTTTAACGAGTTAAAATTAAGAATTTTTTCATTCATTGTAAGGCACACACAGTTATTTTTCATATATAGTTTTTGATAAATTTGAAAATATTTAATCTAAAAATAGTTTTACTCAATTTTAAAATATATATATTTTAACTTCAAAATTAAGTATTATTATAATTATTTTTAAAATGTGAGTAACAATTTAATAATAGTATTTTTCTATCAAATTTGAAATGTTTACAAATTACTAATCATGTAAATTATATATAGCACTTTTTATATAGTATAGATGCCTTTATTTTGTAAAAATTGTGGAATCAGTATTATCACTTCAACAAATTAGTATTTCATTACAATTCAGAACATCAATTTATATTTTCTTATTGTTTAATGATCTTATAAAGTAGTTTCTTTGAAGAAAGCCATTTATCAACTAAATTACATCCTTTTTATTATGAAAAATGCATTTTGGGCACCTTTTTCCCCTCTTCAATCTCTGTTTAAAAATTATTTTATCATCATTTCTCATTTTTATGTTACATTCAGTATAATCTTTGTTTTAAACTTTACTTAAAAATTTTTTCCATTTTATTTTCTTTTTGTTTCATGTTATAAAAGCTAACAAAATTAACAAGTTCAACAATCTTTATCTTAAGGTTAGTTTTCACATTCAGTTTGTTTTTTATTTCATAAACAGCCAGTTTTCTATTACATCCTGTTGTAAAATATCTTAATCATTTTACAGTATTTAAAAAAATTTTCAAATACAAAATTCAAATTTTACATGAAAATTTGAATTTTATAATTTCTAACTGAAAAAATTTTCGAACTAAAACTTATTTTTTCAATCAAAAAATTGTAGTGCATCTCTATTGGAAAACAAAAAAATATTACTTCATGGTTTGATTAAATCTGATTTTCAAACTAAGAACATTTCTTTTTCATACAATTCATAAAAATATTTATTAAAGGAGCAAGAACATAAAACTTGTGAGAATATACACTGTACTGCCTTAGTAGTTTAATCAATAAATTTTATTCTGCTTATATAAATATAGTAGAGCAACGTTTATCCGAAATGTCAGTTATCCAAAAGAATTCCAGTTGGCAAATTTAAATTTTTGCTAGTGCTATGGCGCTGCAATCATTGGCTATATCTTAGGCTACTCCAATATTTTTTTTATTGGTGTGTGTGTTTTAGCTGGCAGCATTGGCACTTTTGTGTAGTGTTTTTTTTTTTTTTTTTGAGGACTGTGTGTTGTGCTGAATCAAACGTTTTTGATACTAGATTAAGTTCTAAAGTATAATTTTTTTCGTTTTTATATTTTTCAATATATTTATTTTGAAAAATATAAAAACAAAAAAAAAGCTCTACTGTATGATCAAGAATCCCACCAGACTATATTGGTTTCATTTTTTTTCTATTTAAGATCAATATACTTTGTGACATCTCCAAAGGTCTTCATTTTTATGCAAGTAAATGGAAGACTATGTCCTAAGGGAAAAAAATTCAAATTTTAAGAGAAATCTTTCTATAATTAACAAATTATTTGTTATATAGTTTACTTGAAGATTCACTTAGTTCTCACATGGCAACTTGGATTCAAGCATGAAAAATATAATTTTTTAGAGGAAAAGAGAAAATAATCCAAGTTCTGAAAGAGAAAAATATTTTATTGACTTCCTACCTCTGTCTTTTATCAGAGTCATTGCATCTTTCTGTTTTAAGAATCTGTAATCCAATCCAAGTTTATGTAATGAGTTTAATTATTAATTAAAAAATCATTTTACATTTCTTTCAATATAGCATTAATTATTTTTTGATTAAACAACAAATATTTTATGTATATAAATTATATTAATTCATTGAACATTTACAATGTATTTGACTGCCATTCATTGACTTCCAATGAATGGTAGCCAAAGTCTATATTTCAAAAACTGACAACATTCTGATGCTAAATTTTTCAAAGCTGTAGATCCTGATGTATTTGACTGTTATGAAAAGTTAATAATTTTGTCACTAACTATTAACAATTGCCTCATCATCATTTGATGTATTGTATGAAGAATTTCTAGAAATAATTTTAGTTTTTTGACTGAATCAAAATTTAAATAGCCTACAAAATAGATATTTTAGTTCAAGCTAACATCAAAATCTAAACCTTCAGATAAAATTTTGATTTACATTCTGAAATATGAATAAAATATTAATTTGTGTATACAGTGATAATGAACAACAAAAATTACTTTTTATTTGTATAAATCTTAAATTTAGTTTAAATATTAGATATAAAGTTATTTTATAAAATTTAATCATTACATAAATTTTATAATTTAATTTTTAATTTAT